GGGTTTCTTTTTGGGGTCATCTTTTGCACTGGTCGCCTTCTCCACCTGTTCTGTCTTCGCCTTCTCTGTCTTCTTCTCGCTTTTGTCAGCCTCTGCGGTTTCTTTCTGCTCCTTGCCTCCTTCCTTTGTCACCGCTGTCCCTTCCTTCTTGTTTACCTCTTTCTCTTTCTTGTCTTTCTTCTCTTTCTTGTCCTTTTTGCTGTTGTCTACTTTGGCTTCTGGCGCTGCCTTTGCGCTGCTTGAGCTCTCCAATTTGCCATCTTTGGGGACACTCTCAACGGTCTCAACTGAGTCAGGGTCCTTTGGCTTGCTCTTCTTTTCCTTATGTTCTTTCACTGCCACCTCCTCATCATTCTTCTTCTGGTTTGCATCGCACTTTGCCTCTTTGGCTGGTTTCCCACCTGACTGCTGTGCATCATTGGGTGTCGCTGCAGGCGCATTGGCTTTCTCATTGTCTTTCACTGACTCCCGCTCCTTGGGTTTCTTTTTGGGGTCATCTTTTGCACTGGTCGCCTTCTCCACCTTCTCTGCCTTCGCCTTCTCTGTCTTCTTCTCGCTTTTGTCATTCTTCTCAACCTCTGCGGTTTCTTTCTGGTCCTTGCCTCCTTCCTTTGTCACCGTTGTCCCTTCCTTCTTGTTTACCTCCTCTTCCTTGTCTTTCCTGGCTGCCTTTTCTTTCTTGTCTTTCTTGTTCTTTTTGCTCTTGTCTACTTTAGCTTCTGGTGTTGCCTTCTGCTTAGTCTGATCCTTTTGGGTCTCAGTCGTTCCCTTCTCGACACTCTCCTCCGTCTTGTCAGTCTTTTCTTTCATACTTTTATTTTGTCTTTTGTCATTTGATGCGTTTCCACTATCTGGCACCATCCCCTCCTTCGATACCTTAACGGCCGCCTTCTGAAGAGTCTCCTGCAGCCTCTTCATATCTTGCAAATCCCTCTCTTGCTTTGCTTTCTTTTCCTTTTGTCTTTCTGCTTCTGCCTCCTTCGGTGTGAGTGAAGCCGCCTTCAATCTTCGCATTTCCTCCGCAGACTCCACCTTGATCGAGATCGAGCTGTCACATGGGTTCACATGTTCGCAGAACAAAGTTAACATTACTTTTGGCAAACTCCAACCTGCGCACCGTTCTTCACTTTACCCATGGCTAGGCTGCAAAATGCAAACCGATCTTGAACTGGAATGTCAAAAACCCGCCAAAAAAAAAATTGACAAGTGCCATTTTCAAGGACTCGGTAGACACGTTCTGACACGTTTTGACACGTTTCCAGGTCATCATTGTAACACTCTAACAGGTTACCAGGGGTGACCTGTTAAGCCTAACAGGTCACCAGGGGTAACCTGTTAGCAAAACACCAAAGACCCCACCCGACACGATCTGACACGTTCACTTTTTGAAAAATTTCCACCGAGTTCGTATCGCAGGTGAACTTCAGCTCTGACACGATCAGACACGTTCGGAGCCTCAATCGGTGTTCCCCCCCTGTCGCACAAGGAGCCTCGTAGGTCGAGCTCCACAGATCGAGCACTGGCAGTATCTCAACCACCAGAACTAAGTTTGTCATCCAGCAGTGTGTTGTTGTAAATTGGTGTTGTGCAGCTGTGATATTCGAAACACCTTGTCCTGCTGGATGCGGTATTTGCATAAGTCACGTGCGCACCCTGACTTCACCTGTTGGTGCACCTGCTTGCTAAAGAAGCAAGCTACCTAATTAGGGTCAAACAAAACATATGTAGCTTGAGGGCAAACACCTGTGCACATTGATAAGACATATCTCTTCAACAGTTCCAGTCAACCTCCCACGAGCTACTTTATACTATAGGCTTGACGCCACCACGCCTTGGTGCGACCCTTTGTCAGGTCATCAAGGCTCCCCAAATGATCGACCCCAGCATAGGAGTCAAGATCCAACGGTGCATCTGCACGTGGCCGCTCCTCCCGGTTCGGGACCAGCGCCGCCACAGCCAAGCCAAAGTCGTATGGATACTCAGCTGAGCGGGAAAGTGCATCTTTCTTTCCTGCCTCAGATGAGCCGTATTTCAACCACCCCTTCCAAGAATCACACAAAGGACAATTTTATTGCAACAAAACCTTGTTTCAAACCACAGTTACCACTTTCACCTTTCCATTCTTGTCAATTGTTTTCTTGACAAGTATAGGCTCCCCAGATGAAGTCCTCCATGACTTCACGATTGAACATCAAACTGAAAAAACTCGCATTTGTCAATCCTTTTGCAGCAAACATTCCTAGGTCCTTTGCAGAGCAGCTTTGAGCTGCTTTATATCCAAGGCCCGGCGAAGTGTATGAGCGCTTGGAAGCGTGGTCCAGATCCTCATTGTTCTTTCAAGAGTTATTTTAAGAGTTTTTCTATGTCTTTCTTGTTTACTCGATCTGTGGTTACTTTGTTCATTTGTATTGTCTCTTCGGAACAAAGCCGCACAGTGTATTTGAGAGTTGCCGCTCCGTAGGATCCCATGGGAAAGGCCACTCTCCTTTTGATACAGAATGTGCAACTATTATGGAAGTGTTGAGCTATTCTACTGGCAATTGCACATCCACAGGCGCAGTCCTGGCTTTTGACCAACGAAGAAATCTCTCCATAGGTGGCCACATGAACATCAACTGGGTCGCGACATGTCAAACCAAGGAGGGAGGCCAGTATTCAAAGCACATGTATACACTTGAACGTTTAAGTCTGAAACTGAAGAGATCGGTTGTTCCACCGCCCAGTAGATTCCGCGTTGGTGTGCGTAAAACAACCTCGGCTAGTCCAACCAATCGAACCAGTTCAGGCCTATTCCACCGAGATCCCAAAACACCAGCTCAACAGGCCAGGCTGCAAATAAAGCATGCGCATGAGAAATATATTTGCAAGAATCACACTCCTGGATGTCCCTCCTTCTGGATTCCACCAGCTCCTTTTGGTTGAGCCCTGTGACCTTAGATGTCAAGTCTTTTGGGTCCAGGATAGTCAATATGGTTTCTTTCACATTCCCCCAAGAAAGATAGCCAAAGCTCTTCAAACAAAACAAAGTCAGCCTGACCAACCACACCTGTTCAAGCAAAGATACAAGAAAACCCAGCTTGAACAGGGAGGCGCGCAGAACAGAAGTCCGTTCTTTCTCATGTTTCGCACCTGTCCCGCAAAAGCATTTCTGGCAGTAATATGTTGGCTTTGCTTCAAAGATCTTCTAAGAATCTCGCTGCGCACATCATCACGATAAAGCCGACGGTCCGGAGCAGGTTGTGGTTTTGACTATACCGAATCTTGGATGCACATGACACTGGCGTTTGCAGCTGGTTGTGTGGCAAATATATTTTTCACTGGGATGAATTTCAGGCTAGCGACATCGAAGGACTTGGTTGCCAAACCACAATTCCTCAAAGCCTTGGACAGTTCTCCTTTTCCAGCACAGATTTCCACCTTGGCGATGGACCAAGTGTGACTTTAAAATACTTAAGGTAACATATCGTGTTTTCTTTTGGCACGGGGCTGCGTCCAAAGCATCTTCCTGTGGAAGCATGGGGATCTGGTAGATGTACATCAACACCAGCAACAGATTTTTGGGATCCATGGCTTCAAATGTCGATGCAACAGCCCGCGTATCCAGAGCTATACGGTAGACACTAGATCCATCGACTTGTCACTGCAATCCAAGGTTGTGTGCCACAACTCCGAAGCTGCAATTGCACGAGCACAAGAGGCACGATCGATCGGAACGATCCACTTTGTGTTTTCTGCCTGCCACAGTGGGAGGTCACTCAATCGCAAACCCCTATCAGGCCACATACCTGCACTAACCTATTCCACCAGGCACCAACCAAGATCTCTATACACCGAGATGTTGCATACAATCATATGTGCCCTTGGAACCCAACACAGGTGATGCAGCCAATTACCAAAACGCACTCGGTATTCCTCGAGCATCGTGAAACAACTGTCAAAAGGTCCTTTTCAATGGGTTCCCCAAAGCAACGATAATAGAACTAGCTTTAGTTCCTAGTTGGTTGGACCAGGTTTGGTTCTTTCAGTTCAACTTATGATTGCAGTTGGTTATCGTGAATCATATGTGCTGACACCATTAGCTTATATATACCTCGGTGCACCCAGGACCCCAGGAAGAGACTAAGGGCTCACTCATTTGTTTTTGGTATCCTTCTTAACCTTCTTGGCGGGTTCCTTTTGCACAGGCTTCTTCGCTTTTGATTTGGCTTTCTTCAACCTCCAGGGGGTACAGAAGAAAGA